GCCATATCAAATGTGACCCTCCCCCAGGCATTCTGGGGGAGTTTACACCAGACTCTTCTGCTCACTTGAGTGTCTTCTTTTAGAATATAATCAAATAAATATGAAAGGGACAGTTTGTTCTCTGCTGTGATGCATTGAAGATCTTCGCATTTATAGAACTTGAAAAGTTTGTGAAGTAACCATTATCTTTCCTGGAGTTTTTCATTGGAGACTGTTCTTTGGAGACATTACCTAGGACAGCGATTAAACATAATAATCAAATTATAATTCCTGTTTAAATCTTATTTTATCTGTTACTGAAGCTGATGAGTCATATTAAGTGTTCTGGTAGTGGTATCACTAGGGAAAAGGTTCAATTATATATATTTTTAACAACAGCTCCCATTACATTCTAATGCTTGTAACTATTGATTTAATAATATATGTTAGCCATAGGTATTTTTGGCAGTAGGTGAGCATTTAAGGAGCTTGATTTGGCCTTTAAATAGTTCTTATATAATTGTTTGTCGCCCAATATGGGTTGTCCCATTAGCACAGAGAGTCTAGTGTCTTGCATTTGTTGTGAATTAATACGTTTCTGCTGTTGCTTTGTATGCATCTCCCATACCCTCCTCTTGCTTTCCTAGTGTATTCAAGCCCCTGTTGGCTGTGAATGACACATTTCATTTGACAAAGCATACATGACTAAAGACAGGCTTAATCATACAGTGATGTAACAGCTCTTGTTGGAAACGTGTATTTGTAAGGTTGTCATGGTGACAGTTCATCATGTTACTTGCTGCGTTTCACAGTCTAATTACCCTCAGCACTTTGAACTGACTCAGGGAATCTGTGCATTAAAATGTGATGCCGTTGACAGCAGATGTGAGCGTTACAAAAGTTCATGGAAAAAAAATGTGCAAGGCTACCATGTGCATAGATATAATGGGGGTATATGGAATAGTGCCAGTCGGACACACTGTCTCAGTCACATTCTCTACTGCATTCCCATTAGGCAGATTTGAGCCATATTTCCAGGCAGGCCAGCTCCTTTTCTCTCAAATTCCCACAGAAGAAAATGTGTGGCTCTGTAAACTTGCTATCTGAAATGGGGCGGAAAACCTGCTGTTTAGTGCCCTGGTATGCTTGATGATTTTATAGACATCGGTTTGATTTCTTATGAAAGATCAGAAAGGAAACAAAAAATGTTCAAGGCATTTGCAGCATATTTAAGGATAAGCCGGGGAGAAAGAATCGGGAGCCAGATGTCAAACTTCAGGGAACATTCTGGATTGCTTGACATTAATCTCTCTTTAAGAAGAGCTACTTACCAGTAAATATCGCTTTCTGAGTACAGAGTGCATGCTTTGGATGCAAAAATAAAGTAGCATATTTGTGTTGAACTCAGAACAAAATTGTGGAATACCCTTCACTAAGCATTTTGTTTAAACTGGTATAGTCACAGCACAGCCAAAATGTTATGAAATAAATGTATAATAAAAAAATTATTTGGCCTATTGACAGCTTGTGACTTTTACATGAAATCCATTACATTTTCATAAAAAGAGTCATCATTAGTCGAATATCAAAATGCTATTTACACAATTAAATAACAGTGAGAGTACACTGTCTTCCCCTTAATGGACATGGAAAGGGGTAGATTCCCTTGGTCCTTGTCTAGGGCTTATGGGGAGTGGTTTATTTATAATAAAAACCCAACATCTGAAAAAGGTTGTACTAACAAGGGGGTACAACCTCGCTGCAGCTTTCACCAATTAACTGAAAAGCGGTTCATTTTCAGGCAACAGACAGGAATAATATTATCCAATTTTCTTAATGCACATTAATATCTGATAAAATATGATTCTGAGCATAGCGCTTTGAAATGTCTTTCTGTAGGGTTCATTTACATGGGAACCCAATGTGACACCAGAATCTGTATCACCCTAAAAATAGAATAGATATAATTTGTTTTAATTTGGTCTCATTGTGTCCTCAGTATCGCTCTCCTTTCTTTTTGTTTTTGGAGCCTCTTGCATCTTCCTTTCCTCTTCCTTTACATAGACTGTGCTGTCCATTGGTGTCCATTGATTAGACTGGAAAAAAATCAAGGTATATGTCTCTGAAGGCTTAGTCCTTGTGCATTTGAGTTTTCTGCATTTGCCTTTGATCTTCACATCTCATGTTATGCCTCAGACAACTGCACCCCTGCACTGCAGACAGCTGTGTTTGCCTGATTTGATAAGATCAGATATATTCACCAGGTCTTTAAAAAGTGGTAGGCTCACATTCAGTTTCTGAGGTGAATAAATACAGTTCCTCTGGATCAGTTCTGTCCAGGAGAGATCCTGGGATGTCTGGGCTTTTTCTCCAACTCAGGCATTGTTTATTTACTTGGAGTCATTGACTGGATGAGCACTGGATGAGCTACCTGTTGCTCTGCATGTCAGTAAGCAGCTCTTACGTTCCTCAGGACACAACAGGACATTGCTGATTGGTCACCGCTGCACTAGATTGAGAAGCTCAGCAATGAAGATAGCAGTCAGGTTACCACAGGTTGCCTCCCCAGGGGGCAGAGGGAATGGTGCCAGAATTCCCAGCAGCCTCTCTGGAGGACGGCTTTGTGTGTGGTGTGGAGCACTGCATGTGCAGTGATGGTATAGAATAGGATACATTGGCTAATGCAGTGTTTCTCAATCCTACTCCTGGAGGCCCACTTCTCTGCATGTCTTCTATCTATCCTTGCTCCAAACACACCTGATTAGTGTGATTAACATGCTCTTGATTAAATCAGGTGTGCTCAGCTAATCAAAAGTGCCACTGATGAGTTCAGTCAGGTAGGTAGGATGGAAAACGTGCAGGACAGTGGGCCTCCAGGAGCAGGATTGAGAAACACTAGGCTAATGGATGAAGAGTGAGGATGGGCAGGAATGGGGAGATACCATGCATCGTCTGCAGGTAAAGAGTTAGGCTTCATTATGGAGTGCCATGCCGGAATTGACCATCTGTGCTGTCAGAATTTTGAAAAAAAGTTTTCTGAGAAAAAAAAAATTATTTTCTACCCTTTTTAATGAAATCTCTGTGCTCTACTGTGCTTGTCAGACAGGCCTCTGGTGCATATCATGTCAATGAATACTACCAGAGTGGTCACAGACAATGCTATCATTTAAAGCACGGATAAGGGTTTTTTGTCTTGGATGTCTGTTTTGTAATTACTTTCTTTGTTTGCTCACAGTAGTAATCAATCATCTGTTCTGGTCTCGTCACCTGAATTTTATAGCATTCAACCAAGCTGTGCTTCACTATTGAATTGTGTGCCCTATTGAATTGCTTAATGGATCCATTTGGATGTAATTGTGTAGGTAATTGGTGCCATAATGTGCTAACTGAACAATTGATGTATCCCCCATATCTGATGTTTTTAAACGTTTGTGACAGTTTGTGCTGACGGCCTGATGGTAGAGAGATGATCGTATACCAGGCGGCGGAATGAAAAGACTTGAAATTCATTTAAAAAAGATGTAAATGGAATTCGTAGCATGAGTGCAGACTTTTCATGATTGGAACTAGGGAAATCTAATTCCTGTCACCACTCTGTCACCCTCTTCCCCCCCCACAAAAAAAATGAAATGACATTGCTACTCTTGAATGCTGTGAGTAAACAACACAAATTACACACTGGAGTGTGCATCCAGAAGAACACTGCTTGCATCTGTATCTCTACATCTGTCTGCAATATGAGAACGCAGATAAAGCTTGCCTAAATAGCCAGTAGCTCTCCATTCTAGTATACTTTATGCTTTAAATGCACAGGAAAAATATTCATGATTTTTACATGTATTATGACTACCATGACAGACTCACTGCCATAGTTTAAGTAATGTAGTAGAGTAATTACTGGAAGCATTTATAATACACAGTATGAATTCATTAATGTGTGCTGTACATATTTTACATGTGATTGAGTTTAGGATGGTTAATGAATGCCAAATGGAAAACAATTTGTGTGAGGTTTGAGCTTGAACTAAGATGTTTTTTATCCAGCTGATTGGTGTACATACTCTGGAAATGAAAGTTTCAGCCAAAAAAAAAAATCTTCCTTGAGCACACCAGCAAAAAGAGATAAATGCTTCTCATTAGGGATCTAACCCCTGCTTAAATGATTTTATGGAAGACAGGACATCCAACCAAACATGATGCCACGGATCTTTTAGGAAAAAATAAAGCGTCGCTGTTGGTGACGGTACTGCAGCAAAGCAAATGCACATCATCAACCCTCCAGGAATCGGTTTATTTTTAACTCTTCTCCCTTATCCTGCAGTCTGCAGAGAAGATGCTCCTGGCATTACAGCAATCATGTGCATTTAGTGAAGCAGGTAACTACCTTTTCTTGCTAGGGGTCGAAACGCTTGCTGATGAAACATACCAGGTCCGAAGTGTGACTCATATCTTGCCTGTTATAGTATTTGTCTTTGCCACATTGACAGGAGAAAATGCTAATGTGATTATTCAAGACTTTGCAGTAGAGGTGTCCTTGCTTCATTAAATGGCTTAAGTAGTATATTGCCACACTTAAGATTACATGGCTGGGAGAGTTATTCAGACAGCAAGGATTCTGTCCTCAATGACCTGCTCCTTATAGCTGTTCAGCATGTGTGAATGATAAAATTAGTGTAATACTAATGACAAGTTCATTTCAACATTATCACAACACTAAAAACTAAATTGGAAAAACTGGAGGAGAAATAACAATGTCCTTTTCTTCGCAGGTGTCTGAGTTCATGTTGTATTTGCGTCAGTTGTGATCAAGAAGCTGGTACCTTATTCACTTGCTTTGGTCAATTACCATTCATTTAGGAACACGCTAGTACTCCTGGGCTGTATTCTGGCTTTGAGCTGAGGTAGAGATGGTCTGAAAATATCTAGTCTCGATCTTTGAAACAGTTCCTGCTCCGCTACACATTGCTGTGTGCATATCTGTGCTGTTCCTGCTCCTCTATACGCTGCAGTGTTCATAGGGCAGCAGTGTAGCATAGTGGTTAAGGAACAGGACTTGTAACCGAAAGGTTGCCGGTTCAACCCCTGCTGCTGTACCCTTGGGCAAGGTACTTAACCCGCAATTGCCTCAGTAAATATCCAGCTGTATAAATGGATAACATGAACTGTAACCTATGTAAGTCGCTTTGGATAAAAGCATCTGCCAAATGAATAAATGTAAATGTTCAGATCTGTGCTGTTCCTGCTCCTGTACACACTTCAGTGTTGAGATCTGTGCTGTTCCTGCTCAGTTGCAGTCTTGTTTGTATAATTATACTGAGTGGTTCCAATATCTGTGGCTGAATCTAATGCTTCTCTGATTCTCATAATGATCATTTATTCATGTGTACTTTTTAATATTCTGACAAATCAACCCATGTTCTTTGTTAGTGTCCATTTTGTGTAGTCATGGATGTAATTCCCCGTGAGAGCAATTTATGTCTGATCCCTTTGGCTGTGTGGAGTTGCAGGAATGTTTTGAAGCCCCTGTGAGTGGGATTTTGTCTGTCTGTTAAAGGCTGACAATTTCTGAGCATATCTTTGTCCCTTTGTGATGCAGTTTGAGGCTATGTGAATGAGATGTTGTCTCTTTGTGTTACAGACTGATGACCTGCAAGTGAGATGTAGTTCATTTTTACACCAACTTGCAGCATTAAAGCATCATCATTCCTTAAATGGCGATAGATGAGATGATGTCAAGTAGCTTTGGCTCTTCACTTTTTATCCACAAAGAGACGCTTTAAAGAGTTTGGAGAGACATTCTTTGGTTTTCACCCTTTTGGTAAAAATGTTGGTGTGTCTCATGTCCTGGGGAGAATCTGATGACATTCAATAACTAAATTCAATATTCAATAATTCAATAACTTAATTCAATTTGTATTTGTACAGTATTTGCACATGACAATTATCAGTAACACTCTGAAGCTCTCCATACTTGAACCCACAGGCTCTGGACTAGCCACGAATGACAATGCATGGGGTCTAATTACCGTTCTTTACAGTACAAGACACGCTGGGGCACACAGGACCGACAGTGCTGTCCTGAATCTGCTGGTTTGTGTGGGGAAAACAAAATAAGCACTCCATTTTAAGCAGTTTTTTTCTCTCATCTTCAGAATCCAGGGTGGCAAGTTTAGGTCACATTTATTCCATGCTTCGTGCTCCGAAAACGTGCAAGAGGTATTTTTGAGGTTTGCCAGAATCGGGTGAACGGCTTTACTCAAAATTAACTTTACTTGGAACAGTTCATATGTACTTCTCTTCATTTATAGATAATGAATGCTAGAAGTGCTGCCTTTAAACTTTTTTCTGTTGCAATATATACCTCACCAGGAGGATTCCAAGTCCTCACATTTTGCCCTAATGCCTTAATGATATCTGATATGGTGAGTTATTAATGGCCGGCTGCTGATAGCTGACTGGTATTCTACATATAGAAGTGGGGGAGGTGGCTAAGTTCATTAAGGACAAACTGGCAATACAGACCAAGCACTTGTGAACTGAAGGTGTTATCGCCTGTAGTCAGCTCAGTCTGAAGTGGCCTTTGGGCATATCCCAAGCATTTTAGATTAGTCGTGTTTCAGTGCCATTGGCCATTGCAATTATAGTGTTGACAGTAGTATGCTCGCGCTTTAAAATGCAGTGTTACTCCACACATGCATGGTCAAACAGAGTTGCAAAAGAGCCACAGAAATGGCAACTCCTGAACTGGCAACAGGCGGTGTGCTCATTTAAAAAAAAAATCCACGCCAACATTTTGTACTTGATAAATGTACTCGATGAATGATAATGTGCAGAAATCTCACGGTGAGATCATTCCACTGTACCTTTCTGTGAGACACATTATCGTTTTTGTCAGCCGAGTTTCCAGTGGTGTCACAGATGCTCATTTTGTGTTACCTCTGCAGTTCCTGGGGCTTTTGGCAAACACACTTACATGCAGCCTGCTGGGTATCGTCTACACAAGCCCAGATTCATAAGTCTAGATATGCTCAGCTAACCTATCTTTCCCAGTGCAACACAACACCGCAGTCATCAGCAAAAAAAACTACACAATCTTCTGTCCTTCAGACATTGAAAGTAAGTTTTCAAGGGTTATGAAGTCCAGGCAATCTTGTGCTCAATACATGGAATAATTCATTCAGCCATTGATTAAAATTGTCTCAAAGTCATTTTTTGTCTCCCAAGGCAAACATGAAGTGTAATGCTCACTGAAGTATCAAGGTTGTGCTCTCAGCACCGCGACACCAACTTTCAATTTTGTGGTTGTTGGAAACAACGCACCCAGCTGTACCGCATTGATGGAAAGCTAGGTTTTTTCCAGTGCAGTTAAGGGTTTCTGGCCTGTTGATTTCTAAACAGATGTTGAATTGTTGCACATGAAGAAGTGAAGGGAGAGGGCTGAATTCAGCCGAGTCCCTGGTGGATTATGTGGCATGTATCTTTCAGTGCCAGATTGCAGAAAACTGAGTGACAATTGTGATCTAAGTATTTTCAATGATCCATCTGTCCAGAAAAAACAAAATCTGCCAAGCACTGTTACTGGAGTTTGACTCTACTAATGACTGACGTAGGCCCTGGATTAATTAAAATACAGTTTGCTTACAACAAACAAGAGTAACGAAATAACACATTTATTTTGAATAGTAAATTTAAGCAAATAATATATTTTTCATTCATTCCATTCCATTCATTTCCATTGCATTTTCTTTAATTTCAGTGCCCATCAAGCTCATATTGTGTGCACTCTCAGAAAATGGCTGAAAAAAACTAAACCAAACAACCAAATATGCATTCTTTACCTCCTATCTGCATTGATGTTTTGCATACATTTTCAGTTGTCAGTGAAATTCTTTCGGTATTCTAACAAACCTGAAGTATATTTAAGATTCCTTTTCTTCTCCAGCTGCTCAATTAATGAGTTTTAATTTGATCATTTTAGTGTAATGACACTGAACAGATCAGATTATTAAAATGACATTTCAGTCATACATCATTGTTTCTGCAAAACCTGCTAATTGGCTTTGCCCTTGAATGACAATGCCATATAAAAGTGTAAAATAATACATAACTGAATTATTCATAAGCAATTCTGCTCACGTAGCAGTGGCTAACTCTTGTCTTTGAAGGCCAGGTTTTGTCAAGCATAACGGACTCCTTTCAATTAAAACCTGGGAAATGTGGGTGATGTCAACTTTGACCCATTCTGTGACAAATTATTTGAGAATTAGCTGCTCCAGAATGGGAAGCTGAGCTTTAGCCCATGACCCCCAGGGAACTGAGGAGGGAGGGAAGTACAAACAATTGGAAGGAGCCAACAGGCGTTTATAGTGGACAACCGCACAGACGAAAGTAATCACCCTGCAGAATTTCTCCTTGTTTTATTTGTGTACATTTTGAGCACTGTGCCAAAGGACCTGCCTGGATAACAAATGGTGAGAAGTATGAGCGTCGTGTTCTGAGCACAAGAGTAATGGCCACACTTCCTCAGATGGATGGCTTTGAAATACACAAATGGTTGCTTGTGCTCTTTTTGAAGGTGATGGGATGGGCAGGTTGTGTCCTTCTGCCACAACAAGGGCATGGCTTTCAATAAACAGGCAATTACTCAATCACCAACGAGGCTTATATAAAGTGATGGAGTGGCTATTAATTCATAGTTCCATTTAAAGATCATATCATTCTTATTGCCCGTGACTGTAAAAAAATAAATAATAATAATCAAGTTACGTAGTTGTTTGCAGGCAGCAGTGAACATCTCACAGTGTATGTATTATGGTATCCTCAGAGAATTTCTAACCATAGACAGCTCTTGCTATGAATACATGCTTTTGTATACAGATGTTGTACCTTTTAATTGTACTCCGCATTCAGAGAAACATCACGTAACTGTGGCAAAGTTGTTAAGAATATTACAAAAACCTCTTGGTAGCTGTTGTATTTTATTTAACAGACTTGACATAGTTTACTTTATTATGCTGATTAAAAATTGTCACCAACAGAGTTAATCAACAGGGGGTCTGCTGGGAAAGGAATGGACTAACATTTTGTTTAGACTGTGCATATAAAAGCAACTCATTTTGAAACAGCTTGCGTTTCATACAAAAATCTAATTAACTACTATATTTCTTCTCAAGTTGAATAGCAACCGCAGGGTTGTTCAAAAAGTAGGTTCACTGGATTAGTACACTGTGACATTTCATTGATTGTTTGTTTGTTATTGTTGTTTGTATTTCCCATTTACTGTAAATTATAAGATTTGCTTAATAATGATGAGTTTGTGAACTAAACTGTTATTTTCTGTTACTTTCCTATCTTCTTGTTGACAATGATAAAAAGTGCTCTGAAAAGGCTATTCAAATTGGTCCTTGGGGGGTTACAGTGATGTTTTGTGGATGTCTGTTGTTCTCCTATGAAAATCTATGTTTTTTTAATGGAAGTGACTAAGTGATGTGGGTCCAAATGATTATTACTTAACAGGGACCTGTTTTCCTGTTACATTAGTTTTGGGCAGAAAAGATCATATAAGAATGCAGAAAGCTAAGCTTGGAATATTGTATGCCATAGACAAAATGCATATTTTCAAAAAATTCCTCCTCCATAAAGGTTTAGTGTTTTAACTAAGGCACTGAGAGAGAATGCTTTTGGACTGAGCTCTACTTTTGCTGTTCCTTCAAACATTCAGCACACGGCCCCTTATTAATTTTGCAAAGATGAACTGGTTTGATAAACAGGCCTCAGGTCACAGTGTGGGGTGCGCATCTGGTGCGGTGTGGGTCGTGCGAGGGAAGAGGTTCACAAACCTCGTCATGTGTCACGGCCTGTGAGGCTCAATGGAGGAGCTGCAGCTGCAGCTAGTGCAGTTCAGAATTATATCAGTGATTGAGGTGCACTCAGGAGGAGGCCTCGCGATGAGGGCTCAGGCTCCGCCTCTCGTGGCTGCCCTCAAATCAACAGCAACAAAAGGCGGAGCCTCACCACTGTGTCTTGTGAGATTGCGGGACAACTGCACGTACTGTATTTATAACAGAAATCAGAGGCAGACAGAACACTGTGGT